TATATAAATTTAAGTAATAATCATAAACATTTACAGAAAGACCTTTATTTTCGATTTTTATATATATATATATATATATATATATATATATATATATATATATATATATATATATATATATATATATATATTTTTTTTTTTTTTTTTTTCAGCCACTAAGGTCAAGCCAGAAGACATGGAAAGTACAGCTGAGGCTCTGGGTATCAGTGCTGTGGTCATCCAGGATTTCAAAACTTTGAGAAAGAATGCTTATGAGTTTGACTGGGACAAGATGGTGGATTTTAAAGGAGATAGCGGGCTGTTTTTACAGTATTGCCATGCACGGCTATGCAGGTGTGGTTCTGGGAAATTTTAATGAGAATCATCCAAGATGGCCCATGTTTTTGTGACTAAGCATGGATTTTGTGGATATATTGAGATCAGAAGATCTTTATCACAAACTGCGAAAATAAACCATCTTCGTTAGTCTCAATTGGTGTATTTGTGACAAAAGAGCTTTTGATTTTTGTAACCTTCCAAACTGTTGAAACATTTTAAACATCTAAGATAAATATCTAGAAAATATTTTTCTGGACACTACTTTTATATTTTGTAGAACCATTGTCTAATAGTGAAAGGATACCACCTTCTCATCCTGATCCTCACTCCTTTTCTTGTCTCTGCAGTGTCGCAAGCCACATTTAAGGCTATCTTGAATGATTTTCATGGATGGGGGGGGGGATACTGTAGAATTAAGGGGCATTACATTTGTCGGGCTTCTGTGGGTATTCAAATTTAGGTTCTTCCTGAGAAGCACAGCAGCTGTAAACCAGATATTATTGGGATTTCAAATTGTTGAAACTTGAAATATCTTCAAATGAACAATATGATAGTTGCTGTTGATGATAATGTGTTCCATGCTTATATAAGTCAAACCTTATAACAGCACACAGGAATGATATTTTCCCCACTATCAGTGGATTTATGACTTTTTATAAACCAAAAATATCATTGGCCTAGGTGGCCTAGTGGATCACATGCCATATTTTCCTACTTTTTCACTAAATGGTAGTCTCATCCCTGGGGTTAAAAAGTTCATGTTTAAAAAAGCTTGGTCCTATCTCTTGATTTAACATGGGTGAGTATTTTTTCTGACCCATTTAAAACATTTGATTTCTTACACTGTAATGAATACTAATATATCTAACAAACCTGTATTATGTCCATGTTCCAGTCTAGAGAGGGAGGCCAGGAGAGCTGGGGTTGCCATCCATGATGACATAGATTTTACTAAATGTGGACAAAAGAAGCAGTTTGGAGGAGCCAAAAATTTAGTTATAATGCTTGCAAAGTAAGTGTGTGCTTTATTCTTACTTTTTACATCACACTGAGCTGGTGAAAATGTACAGAGGTAAATTGTAATGGTAATAATACCCCAAAAAAATGTTTTACAGATTCTGAAATAAAAAGCACCAAAATAACACATGTAGATATGCGTCATCATTACACATACTAGTAAGTTAAAGATGGGGTTAGTGTAAACTATAGATATGTGCCGAGTGCAGCTGTTAGTCATTCAGGTCAGTTGAACCAGTTGAAAACTAAAATCTGTCTGCATTAAGATAGTTCAGTACTATAGAAAGCAGTAACACATTGCCATTCATGCTGGATCCACCTAACTTGGTCCACCCATCTTTGTGGTTATTTCAAAAAGTTTGTATAATACACCTATTCTGCTGTTTTTGGAAAATGAAAAATTACATCAATAATACGAGCTCATGAAATTGGGCTGTTTTTAAAAAATTTAATTGTTTATGATATGCAGGCCACTGAAGACCTTTTATTTATTTTGAAAAAATCTTCAGTAACACTTAATGAGATAACACCTTCAATATATAAATATAATCATATTGCTGTTCCTAATAATAACTTTAAAATCATATTTTGTATGGATGTACAGTCTCCAACACTCAAAGCTGTATCTGTGTGGGCAGATGTTTGATGTCTCTACATATAGGTCATAAGTCATCAAAAGTCCCCAATGCACACTTGATGAGCCCAGTCCCAATGAAACTATTGTTTTCCATAGATTTATCCAATGCAGTGGGGACTCTTGCTGAATGCAATCAGAACATCATATTAACGTGCCTCCTGGCATTAATTACAATACAAAAAAAAAAAAAAAGCTGGTGATCATACATGTATGAGTATGTTGGAAAAAGGACCCTAAGAGCTCTTGGTTCATACCAGTTAGTCAGGGTGATAACCTGTGGTCTCAATGGCTTACCATAAGTTGGTTTATGTGTTTTTTTTTTGTTTAGATATGAAGAAGTCATCAGGAAGTCATTTGTCACTCTGGAGCCCACTGTGATGTATCACTATCTTCTGGAACTCTGGTGAGTCTGGTCATGGACACTAGTAACTACAGGCCTGTAGCCAGGGGGGCTCGGGGGGGGGGGGGGATCTCAAACAAACCATCCTGTTACTGGGAAAAGGTCTGCTCTGTGTCAAATTTGATGTAGGTGGTAACAGGAAGGTTTCATGGTAAAATGCCCACCTTTTCAGGAAGTGACACCCCCACCCCCCATCTTTGAAATGGCTGGCTTGGACCTGAACTTTAACCTTACCTGGAGTGAAAAGAGGCAAACAGTTGTTTTCTTACCCCAACTCCTGACTTAGAATTAAATAGGGTTGTGTGTGGTATTTTAACTGCTGAATTACTTTGTAATTTGTTCTAAGAGGCATCTTTGAATACTTAAAAAGCTTTATTTCTGTGTCTGATGTAATTACCTGTTGGTGGATTTATTGTTTCATTGTGTTTATATATATATAGAAACATGGTGCAAGTTTAAAAGATAAATATTGATAATTGTTTGTTAGTCAATTTTAAAAGAATGTACCTGCCCCCTCAGAGTCATTTAAAATATATTAATATATTTTTTTCCACAGTGTTAAAACCAACTCTCTATATTTGAAATATAAAGTGGTGGGAATGCCCCTAGAGATTGCAGAGGTAAGCTTAAAGGGATAATAACTCTTCGTATGAGAATTATATTTCACAATAAAATCATTGTGAACAACTCATAGAAATATAATATATTCTGTTTTACCACAAAAACGGCAGTTAAAGCTATTATTCTGATATCTGAGCTTGTCTTTAGACCACATGCCCTCCATTTATGGCTATACTCTGTTATAATCTCTGAAGAGATTATAACAAAAAAAAAAAACTTTTTAGAAAAATAAAACAGGGACTAACTTTGAATGTAAAAATGGATTCATTAACCATTGGTAAGTATGGGGAAAATTGTTGTTTACTCCAGGAAAATTAATTTTTGGCCAAAACGAAGAGTTATTATCCCATTAACAATTGAGTGTAGCAAAGAGTGGGGGCTCCATGTTTTTGAAGGTGAGGGTTTATATTGGGACTCAACCAAGTCTACACGTATTAGAAAAATTATATAATACCAAGCCCCAGTAAACCTGGATGATGCAGTAATTTTTATGTACAGACACAGATGTGTCTGTACATATTGCCATCACCTGTGTCTGTCGTCGCCGTCGCCGTCGTCGCCGTGCACTTTCCTTGTAAACACGATATTAAGTGGAAGANGACCTGTATTAGATTGAAGGCTAAGACCTGTATTATTTCATTGCTACATAAATATAATTGTTGTTTTTTGGTGGTGGGAGAGAAAACCAAATTTAAATTTTGTTCAGTTTTGGGAGTTGGTTGAAATATTTGTATGCATATCTTGTTGATTACACCATATTAAAAGTCTTGAGGTGATATAACTGAAATTGTTTTTGTAGGGATTTACTCATGTTTTCATATGTTAAAATGTGAGATTCAGAGATTTTAAGATTTCATGCTGAATATGTTACTCTTACTAAGGCTGTATTCCCAGAGCTTTTAGATCAATCTATCCCCGGGGGGAATCTCACTAGATTACTGTCAGATAATCCGGCTTTTAATGTCCGTCCCGCCTACTACAAGCTGTAAGGGGGTAATTAACTTTCGTGTCCGCTCGGCTGACAGCTATTTAGCGTGAACCCCCAGGGAGTTAGGTCGATCTAAAGTAGATCGATCTAATCTCTGGAAATGGGGTCTAAGACTACTGACATTTCATGCATTTGTGTGGTAAAATGTATCAAGTGCTCTGAGATAGTAAATTCAAGAAATCAAAAAAAAAAAAAAAAAAATTCTGAACATAATGTATTTAGTCTTATTTCTGTTAAAGACATATCAAAGCAGGATACATCATTTCTTGTGATGTTTAGTTAAAGCACTGTCAACTTACACTGAAATGGTGAACATTTCCTGTTAGATGTGCCTCTGGCTTCCACATTGACTTTGGTGCGGTGAAGGGCATGAAGACCAGGAAGGGCACTGCGGTATTCTTGGAAGATATTCTGGATGAAGCTAAAGATGTAGCTCTTCAAAAACTACAGGATACGGAAAGTAGGTTTTACATAAGATAATGGAGCTCAATCAAACTTGTGAGGTTTTGAAGTGAAAAAGGAGCCTGATCATTTTGTCTCTTTTTGCAAAGTTGTTATAGATACACAGTGTATATGTTTACACAGTGTATGTATACACAGTGTATCTTTCAGTTCAAGAATGGAATTTTAGCTGCAAAACAGAACAATTTATCAGACAAAATGGAATTCCTTGTTTTTTAATTCAATTCTGATGGTTCCTGAGATTCGTCAAGGCTAGATGTTGAGTCCCATGATAAATGTTCAGTTTTTTTTTTAAAACCTAGACTCATGTCTGATTTATGTATAAAGTTTAAAAGAAAAAAAAAAACAAAATGATTAATATTTCTTGAAAAAATAAATGTGTGTATGTATGTGTCTGTAGAATGTTGAAGGCATTATTTGCCTTCATTTGTTGGGTGTTATCTTTGTTGTCATGTTCTTTGTAGGCTATATAAATTTAAGTAATCATCATCAACATTTACATAAATACCATTTATCTTTGGTTTTAATATATATATATATATTTCAGCCACTAAGGTCAAGCCAGAAGACATGGAAGGTACAGCTGAAGCTCTGGGTATCAGTGCTGTGGTCATCCAGGATTTCAAAACTTTGAGAAAGAATGCTTATGAGTTTGACTGGGACAAGATGGTGGATTTTAAAGGAGATAGCGGGCTGTTTTTACAGTATTGCCATGCACGGCTATGCAGGTGTGGTTCTGGGAAATTTTAATGAGAATCATCCAAGATGGCCCATGTTTTTGTGACTAAGCATGGATTTTGTGGATATATTGAGATCAGAAGACCTTTATCACAAACTTCGAAAAAAAACTTATCACTTGAGCAAAATATTTTGTAGTGCAATCCACCATCTTCATTAGTCTCAATTGGTGTATTTGTGACAAAAGAGCTTTTGATTTTTGTAACCTTCCAAACTGTTGAAACATTTTAAACATCTAAGATAAATATCTAGGAAATATTTTTCTGGATACTACTTTTATATTTTGTAGAACCACTGTTTAATAGTGAAAGGATACCACCTTCTCATCCTGATCCTCACTCCTTTTCTTGTCTCTGCAGTGTCGCAAGCCACATTTATGGCTATCTATGGATGGGGGGGATACTGTAGAATTAAGGGGCATTACATTTGTCGGGCTTCTGTCGGTATTCAAATTTTGGTTCTTCCTGAGAAGTACAGCAGGTATTATTGGGATTTCAAATTGTTGAAACTTGAAATATCTTCAAATGAACAATATCACCCCATTTCCATAGATTTTTAGATCTATCTATCCCTGCGGGGAGTCTCACTAGATTACTGTCAGCTTGGCTGGCTTAAGCATCTGTCCCGCCTACTAAAGCTGTAAGGGGTTAAATAACTATGGTGCCCGCTTGGCTGACTGCAATTTAGCGTGAACCCCCAGGGAGTTAGGTCGATCTAAATCTTAATCTCTAGATCGATCTAAATCTCTGGGAAAGCACCCTATGATAGTTGCTGTTGATGATAATGTGTTCCATGCTTATATAAGTCAAACCTTATAACAGCACACAGGAATGATATTTTCCCCACTATCAGTGGATTAATGACTTTTTATATACCTAAAATATCATTGGCCTTGGCAGCTTAGTGGATCACATGCCATATTTTCCAACTTTTTCACTAAATGGTAGTCTCATCCCTGGGGTTAAAAAGTTAATGTTTAAAAAAGCTTGGTCCTATCTCTTGATTTAACATGGGTGAGTATTTTTTTTTTTTTTTTTTTTTTTTTTTTTTTGTGAACCATTTAAAACATCTGATTTCTATCTTCTTCCACTGCAATGTATACTTATATATCTAACAAACCTGTATTATGTCCATGTTCCAGTCTAGAGAGAGAGGCCAGGAGAGCTGGTGTTGCTATCCATGATGACATAGATTTTACTAAATGTGGACAAAAGAAGCAGTTTGGAGGAGCCAAAAATTTAGTTATAATGCTTGCAAAGTAAGTGTGTGCTTTATTCATACTTTTTACATCACACTGAGCTGGTGAAAATGTACAGAGGTAAATTGTAATGGTAATAATACCAAAAAAAATTTTTTACAGATTCTGAAATAAATAGCAACAAAATAACACGTAGATAAGCGTCATCATTACACATAAGTTAAAGATGGGGTTAGTGTAAGCTATTGATATGTGCTGAGTGCAGCTGTTAGTCATTAAATCAGTTGAACCAGTTGAAAACTAAAATCTGTCTGTATTAAGAAAGTTCAATACTGTAGAAATCGGTAACGCATTGCCATTCATGCTAGATCCACCTAACTTGGTCCACACCCATCTTTGTGGTTATTTCAAAAAGTTTGCATAATACACCTATTCTGTTGTTTTTGGAAAATGAAAAATTACATCAATAATAAGAGCTCATGAAATTGGGCTGTTTTTTTTTTAATGCAATTGTTTATGATACGCAGGCCACTGAAGACTTTTGATTTATTTTGAAAAAATCTTCAATAACACTTAATGAAAAAACACTTGAAATATATAAATATAATCATGTTGCTGTTCCTAATAATAACCTTAAAATTGTATTTTGTATGGATGTAAGGTCTCCAACACTCAAAGCTGTATCGGTGTGGGCAGATGTTTGATGTCTCTACATATAGGTCATAAATCAACAAAAGTCCCCAATGCACACTTGGTGAGCCCAGTCCCAATGACACTATTGTTTTCCATAGATTTATCCAACGCAGTGGGGACTCTTGCTGAATGCAATCAGAACATCATATTAACGTGCCTCCTGGCATTAATTACAATACAAAAAAAAAAAAAAAAAGCTGGTGATCATACATGTATGAGTATGTTGGAAAAAGGACCCTAAGAGCTCTTGGTTCATACCAGTTTGTCAGGGTGATAACCTTTGGTCTCACTGGCTTACCATAAGTTGGTTTATGTGTTTTTGTTTGTTTAGATATGAAGAAGTCATCAGGAAATCATTTGTCACTCTGGAGCCCACTGTGATGTATCACTATCTTCTGGAACTCTGGTGAGTCTGGTCATGGACACTAGTAACTACAGGCCTGTAGCCAGGGGGGCTCAGGGGGGGGGGGGGGGGGAGGATCTCAAACAAACCATCCTGTTACTGGGAAAAGGTCTGCTCTGTGTCAAATTTGATGTAGGTAGTAACAGGAAGGTTTCATGGTAAAATGCCCACCTTTTCAGGAAGTGACACCCCCACCCCCCATCTTTGAAATAGCTGGCTTGGACCTGAACTTTAACCTTACCTGGAGTGAAAAGAGGCAAACAGTTGTTTTCTTACCCCAACTCCTGACTTAGAATTAAATAGGGTTGTGTGTGGTATTTTAACTGCTGAATTACTTTGTAATTTGTTCTAAGAGGCATCTTTGAATACTTAAAAAGCTTCATTTCTGTGTCTGGTGTAATTACCTATTGGTGGATTTATTGTTTCATTATGTTTATATATAGAAACATGGTGCAAGTTTAAAAGATAGAATATTGATAATTGTTTGTTAGTCAATTTTTAAAGAATGTACCCTCCCCCTCAGAGTCATTTAAAATATATTAATATATTTTTTTCCACAGTGTTAAAACCAACTCTCTATATTTGAAATATAAAGTGGTGGGAATGCCCCTAGAGATTGCAGAGGTAAGCTTAAAAATCAGTGTAGCAAAGAGTGGGGGCTCCATGTTTTTGAAGGTGAGGGTTTATATTGGGACTCATCCAAGTCCGCAGGTATTCCATAAATTATAAAATGCCAAGCCCCAGTAAACCAGGATGATTAGTAATTTTTTTTAATGAATCTGTAAAAAGAAACCATAGGAATTGTGTTAAGTTAAACATAAATGTCGACACCTCCTTTGGTCAAGGGTTCCAGGTGGGTGCTGTATACGTTCATAAAAAATTAAATGTTATAGCTTGTATCCAAATTGTTAGCATTATGGGCAATAATTTCCTTTTGGATTTAGATTATATTTCATAAGTCAGAGCACTTCTCAGCTGAACTATCAGTCTCAAGATATATGATATCTCATGATGAATTCTATAAATTGTAAACATTTCCTGTGTTTTTATATATTATGAAGAGTTTTATTCAGAAATCAAATATCTAGTTGCATATCAATATTTGTGCAGTCTTGTATATTTATTCCTTTCATATTTCAGAGTCGCCTGCTGCTGTTTCACTGCACACGCGTGGTGTTGGGGCAGGGTTTGGAACTACTGGGGCTCACTCCTCTGGAAGAAATGTAATGACACTAGTCCTAGTGACAGCGGAACTAAACTTAAGCCCGATGTTGTGAATCTTTGTGACTTTTGCCCTTTAACTGGAACCAAAGGCACGGCAGTTAATCCAGGCCCGTAGCCAGCACTTTCAAAAGGGGGGTTCTTTTTCTGAAAAAGTGGACCTTTTCCCATGAAAACTTCATGTACCTAGATCAAGTTTTATCCAGAGTGGACCTTTTCCCAG